GACGGGGTCCCTGAAGGAAGCGGCCGCGCTGCTTAGGCGCGCGCGCCACGAGCGCCTGGGCAACCCCCTTCGGGGTGTCCTGGGGGACAAGGTGCGACGGTGTTTAAGCCGAGAGCACTTCGAGTACGTCCGGGAGCTAGCGGAAGGGGGAGCCTCCGCGCGGCGGGGCGCGCCGCGGAGGCGCGAGCGAGCCCAGCCGTACCCCAGCGTGCGAGCCCACATCGACGAGGCCTACCAGAAGGTATGGGCGGATGTGACCTGGGGGATCGTCCTGGTGGCGTCCCAGGCGGCAGAGGGTTTTCTGACGGAGCTGGTGGAAGCCCCCCTGGGGAGGGTACCGAAGCAGCTACCGGACAGAACCTTATCGTCCGAAGGGCGTATGATCCACGCGATGCTCTCGGCCAACGCCGCCACACACAAGCGCGACCACCCGCCTGCCGTCCAGCCACGCCATCGGCAAGTGGCGAGGACGGCGGTCTGGCATCGCGCGCGCCACCCCGGAGCGCGCCTCCTCTGCGCCAAGCGGGACGTCTCGCGGGCCTTCAAGTGGTTGGACATCGCCCCGGCGGACGTCGGGGACTTTGGCACCTCATTACCGGGGGCCCACGCTGGCATCGAGGGGGACGTCAGAGTCGTTTACCTAGCCATGGTGTTTGGGTGGACGGGAGCCCCAGGCAATTACATGATGCTCGCCCTGGCGGCGAGGGAGCTCCACGAGAGCTATCGGCCTGGGGAGCCGCACTGGCACGACACCACCCACTTCCACTCGGAGTGGCTCATGGATGACCCTGTGGTGGTGGAGCCCGACATTGGGGTCCGACCGTGGATGGCCTGCGACGCATTGGATGCCTCCATACGTGAGGTGTTTGGGTCCGAAGCAGTGAACGTCAGCAAGAGGGACGCCGAGGGGGAGCCTTCCACCACGCAGATTATCTGGGGGCTCAGTATGGACTTCGAGCGCGAGCGAGTTGGACTCCCGGAGCCCAAGGCCATGAAGATGCGCTACTGGCGGAGCCGGAGCTGAGCTTCGGCTGCCGCATGGTCCGGCTGCGAACCGCGAGGGAGCTAAGTGGGCTCGGCCAGTTCTGCGCCTGCGCAGCTCCAGCCCTGAGCCTGGAGCTCCCAGCGGTCCACCGGATGCTGTCGGGTGACCCAGGTCAGGCCTACGTCCATCCGCCGGGCGACCCCGAGATGGTAGAGGCTGCGTGGGACGATTGGCACCAGACCCTGGATTGGCTGCGCGTCTGCTTTGAGATGCCGGTCGAGGGTAACTTCGAGACCTCCTTCGAGGGCCTGCTAGGCCTTCGCGAGGCCCTCGCACTCCCGGGGGCGCTCGGCAAGCTGCGCTGGCTGGGAGGCGATGCCACCCTGGATCGGATCGGTGCGCTGGACTGGTCCTCGCGCGAGTACATCGTGGCGGAGGCGGCTCCCTATCTGGAGACGCTCCGCTCCGCCCCTGGGGTCACCTGGCAGGGGGAGGGGGAGATCATCGCGGTGGTCGAACTCCTCTGCCTGATAGCCTTGGCGGCCGAGAAGGGCCCGGACTGGTTCCAGCTGCTATTGCCGTACGTCACTGACAACAGTAATGTCAGCCGCTGGCTGCGACGCCGCCGGGCACGGAACGCGGTGGCGCGCCACCTGCTTCGAGTCCTGGCCATGCTGGAGCTACGGTACAAGTTCCGGGTCCTGGACGGGCTTTACTTACGGACTTACCACAACGAGCTGGCCGACTTCATTACTCGTGCCACGGTGGAGGAGGTACGCCAGCGGATGGCGGAGGCCGGATGGACCGAGCTGTCGCCGGCAGCGCCGTGGGGCGAGCTGGTGGAGGAGGCCGCCCAGCGCGAGCTGCGGATGCCAGGAGACGACGGGCCCTGGCGCGCGGCTGCGCTCCAAGTCAAAGGAGCCCGGGAGGCCCTACCACGCTACGCCCCCCTGCAGGTCGAGGGGGCGCGGCTGCTGGAGGTGGGAACCGCGTGGCCCCCCTTTGGGGAGGCATGGGAGAGCCTCGGTGGGTCGGCGCTGCTAGCGCCGTGGGATGTCGGTGACCGATGGGACCCGGACGACGGGGACCACCCCAAGGACCCCACTGGGGCCCCACGGACCCGCTGGCTGTGCGTGTCACTATCGGAGGACCCCGGTGGACGCGAAGCGACGGGCCTGGAGCGGCTACTGATCACCATTCGGCCACTGGCCGTGTTGCTCGACGCTCCCGTCAACTACGCTGCAGTGCGACTAGGGGCGCGCTTACGGCGCCTCGGCTATGTGGCACTCTCCCCAGAGACGCGCCTACTGTGCACACACTTCGGTGACGTCACGGCACGCGCGCGGGCGGTCCAGGTTTGGGGTTGCGGAGAACGGGTTCGGGCACCGAGCCCCATGCCCCCCCTGGGGCAGCCCTGCGTGGAGCCACGCGGCCTCTGCCAGCTCTGGAAAGAGGCAGGGCGGCCACCGCTGGATGAGCTCCGCCTGGACCTCAACAACGGCACCTTGCTCGTGGACCCTCGGATCTCGACGACGGGGGATCGCATGATGCCCTGGCCGCGCGGCACATGGCAGCCCGCGGGAGGCGGGCGGGCCCAGCGCGTGGTGATTCATGATCCGCGCGGGCCCTGCCATACGGCACGGGCGAAGCCCGACCCGTTGAAGGGCTATGCGAACACCCTGATCCTGGAAGGGTCCGAGGGCGGCTGGACCGCGCGAGCCCTGCACCCGAAAGAAATCTGGTGCGCCCAGGGGGGCGCGGCGGAGCTGTGGGATGCCTTGGGCCTTGGAGGTATGCCGATCGCCGAGCGCATGCGGCAGGCCGCTCGTGCACTCCCGCGTCGCACGGCCCGCTGGGTGCTCCAGTGGGCGGAGCGCCTGCTGAGGCAGGCCGTAGAGGCAGCGAGCGCAGGCGAGGCACCCGGGGCGCGCGCTGGCGTCGGACCCGATCACGACCGACTCGCTAACGACGAGATGGTTAAGCTGTGGCTAAAGGCCTGGCTTCAGGCCCCCGATCGCCCAAGCGGGCCATTCGAGGCTGCGCTGGAGGCGGGGAAGACGACGGACGACGCCGCTCGGTTGGCGGACCAGCTCGACCCCCCTGCTACCGCGCGGTCCACCGCAGCAGGGGTGGACGGGGCAGGCGGGGAGCGGGTCGGGGCGGTGACCTTCGCTGTTCCGGAAGGCGCGGGCATGCCCAGGCCAAGCGCCATGGACGGCGTGGGCGGCGAGGCTCGCCCCCCGCGCAAGGCCCGTCGGCGTACCCGCAGCGCCCCTGCTCCCGCGCTGGTGAAGCCCGCCGCCTGGCGGTACGCCGGCGGGGGCGCCCCGAAAGGGATTCAAGGTGAACTCACCGACCCCCGCGAGCTGGATGCGACCGCCACCGAGGCGATGTTGGCCAAGCTTGCCGAAGGGACGCGGGCCAATTACAGCGCCGGGTGGCGTAACTGGGTACTCTGGCGGAGGCTCCGAGGCCGGAGCCCATACCTGCAGGGGGAGACTCGGGACGCCCGCCTTACGGATGAGGATGACCTCATCCGGTATGTCGTGTACCTGTACAAGGTGATGAAGAGGCGGGCCACGACCATCCGCCAGCGCCTGTTCGCCATTCGATATGCCCACACCCTGGCCGGGCTTGGGGATGTGACCTCCGATCGGCGCCGGCTCTGGACCACGATCGAGGGACTCCGCCGCTGGGACGGAAAGGCGAAACGGAAGCTGCCGGCCACGCCCCGGATGTTGCGCTGGCTCCGCGAGTACTTGTTCGCCCACGGGACGGCCACGCGCCGGGAGGCGACCATCCTATGGGCGGCGCTCATGACGGGGTACTTCTTCATGCTCCGCGCGTCGGAGTATTTGGTCCAAGAGGACCGCTCCTGGAGCATGGGACGGGTGGTGCGTGGGCAGGACGTACAGGGGATGCGCGGGGGTACACCCAGCGCAAGGCTCAGCGACTGCGATGAGGTAGTACTGACGATCACGTCGTCCAAGACGGACCAGTTTAACGCAGGTTGCGTACGCAACCATTACCGTTCGGGGGTGGAGTTGTGTGTCGTGGACGCACTCGCCGACCTCCAGAGGGAGCTGCCGGACCGGTTTGGACGAGGAACCGAGGCGGGGCTCCCCCTGTTCCGCCGGCCCGATGGCCACCCGATTATGCGGGAGGAGGTGCAGGGGCTCCTCCAACTCGCGGCTGCCGCCTGCGGCGTGGACGCAGGCCAGATGGGATCCCACTCCCTGCGCATCGGGGGCGCGACGGCGTTGTACCACGCCTGTCGCGACCTGGAAGCGGTCAAGAGGTTCGGGAGGTGGTCCACGGACGCCTTCCACGGATATCTCTGGGAGGACCATCGGCGTCAGGCTCCATTCGCCCGAGGCATGGCGGAGGGCCACGCCTTATTGGCCCCGGACGCCCGCGGTGACGACGGCGCCGCGGCCGGCGCCCGCCCCGACCAGTTGGCCGGGAGCGACCCGCCCCAGTTTGGGAGCGACCTGAGGCCCTCGGAACGCCCGGCCTGGGCGCCCGGGCGCCCCCCCTGGGCGCGCCCTTCGGCGCGAGCAGGGTCAACTACGGAGGGGGAAGGAGAGGAGGAGCTGGTGAGATACGAGCCAGGGCGAGGAGTTAACGGGCGTGTGGGGAAGCAGCAGGCGGGTCCCACGGGTATTCAGGTCAGGGCGGGGGCTTCGCGTTGTGGGGGTATCCCGGTGGACCTCTCGCCCTCGACCCCCCTTTCGCTACCGCTCCCGATCGCCCCAGGCACGCCCACCTCCTCTTGGTCCTCTCATCCGCAGCCATCTCCCACTCCAGAGCGAGGCACGCGAGCAGCGCGCGCACCCCAGCCTCGCGCGCCAGCCGCGCCTCCGCCCCGCGCTCCGGCAGCGTACATCATGGGATTCCTGGTGGGCCTGGTGGCCCCGGACCAGAGCAAGGCGCGTGGCCATGACTACAGCATCATGGCGGTGAACCCCCTCGGCGTCGTCGTCTCGGGGGCCGCGCTGTCGGACGAGCTCCGGAGTGCCGCCCACAACATCCTGTACACGGTGGTGAACGAGCTGGACAGCGAGGACCTCGTCGAGGTGGTCAACCACGACCACGAAGCAGCCCCGTGCATCGCGGCGGCTTGCTTGGCCGCGGGGGCGAGCGAGGACCACGGCCAGCTGGTGATCGTCGACGGCAAGCGGGGCGCGTGGGGGGTGGGCGCGGGGCCGAATATCAAGGTCCAGCGCCAGGCGGCCAAGCTGGCGCTCGCCCTGGCCCACTTCCAGGGGCAGTCCATGCCGGAGCTCCGCGAGCTCTGCAAGCACAACAGGGGCTGCTCGACATGATGCGCACGGTGGACGCGGAGGCGGTCGTGGAGCTCACCGACGTGGACGACGCCTCGAGCAGGGGCGAGGGGAGGTCGACCCCAGCCCCGGTCCTCGAGGCGGGAGAGGACGCGGTCACCGCGGCGCTGGCGCGTGCGGCCATCCAGGCTGCAGCGCGGCGCCAGAGCAAAGGCGCTCCAGCGGAGCGCCCGCGGCCCGCGCGGTCCCCGGGCCAAGAGCGCCTCGCCGAAGAGGTCCGCAAGCGCGAGAGGCGCCCTGCGCCCTTGCGCTCGCCCTCGCGCGCGAGGCGCCGCGATCGCGAGCGCGATGCGCCTCGCGATCGCGGGCGCAGGGGACAGGAGGAGGAGGCCGTCTTGAAACCCAAGACGGGCGGCGCCCCCCCGAAGGCCGACATCGTGAAGCGTGAGGCCGTCCTGAAGCCCAAGAGCGGGGGGGCGCCGCCGCGGTCCTTCGAGGTGAAGACCGAGGTGGAGGAGGCGGCGGCGCCAGGCGCGGGGGACGGTCCGCCCCAGCGCCAGCCGCGCTCGAGGAGCCGCCGTAGGCGCAAGGAGGAGCAGCGCCAGGGCGCCCAGCAGCAGCCCAGTGACCAGCACGACGAGGGCGAGTCCATCATCCGCATCGAGCGGGTACCGCACCACGTCGATGCCGAGGTGGTCAGGCAGGTGGTCGTGCCCTTTGGGGTCGTCAAACACATCGCCTTCCTGTACGACCACCGCCACAAGCGGGAGCCGTGCGTGCTGGTGGAGTTCCAGCGCCGCGCTGACGCAAAGCGCGCGCGGGAGTGCATGAGGTCGAACTATCGGTTCTACAAGACGGACCCGTGCACGGTGGTCACGGAGTGGGCGAGCCGACCTCGCGGCCCTGACCCAGGCAGCGACGGGGAGGATGGCCCGACCATCCAGCCGCCTGCCTGCCCGACGTGCGCACTCAAGATGCGCTGGAGCTCCTTTGACCCGGGAGACGGTTGGGGTTGCGAGATGTGCCCCGCGGGCGGAGCTAACAGCGGAGCCCTGCGGTGGCACTGTAAGGGGTGCGACGTGAGCTACTGCGAGGCTTGCCGCGTCGCCTTCGGCAAACCCAAGACGGTGGTGGAGAAGGCCCGGCGGAGCGGCCACACCGTGCGGGAGGCGCCGGGCCCCAGTGCCGGCCATGGAGAGCGCCCCAGCACGGGTGCCACGGGTGCGGGGGCTGAGGGGGACCGCCCGCCGGGCGACCTCAGCTGGCCCAAGCGTGAGAGGTCGCCCAGCCGCAACCGGCCCAAGCGCGAGAGGTCGCCCAGCCGCAGTCTGGCGCGGGACCCAGCGTGGGCGCGGCGCGGCGACACCCCTCCCGGCCGCACGCGGCGTAAGACCGGGAAGCACGCTGGGCAGCTTCGCGCTCCTCGCGGCGGCTGGTACGAGCAGGAGAAAAAGCGGCGGCGTGCTGCCGCCGCGGAGGCTGCCGCGGGCGGGGGTGGGATCCCAGCCTGGCGTGGCAAGGGCGCGGGCGACAAGGGCGGCAAGGGCGGCAAGGTCAAGGGCAAGTACTCCGGCAAGGCCGCCAAGGGCTCCAAGAGCGGCGGCAAGGGCGACAAGAGCGGCAAGGGCGGCCACTCCAAGGGCGACCAGGGCAGCCGCGGCCGGAGTGAGCGTGACTGGCCCAGCGCGGACGGTCGCGCGTCGAGGGGCGGCGATGGCGGCAGCCCCCGGGACCCCAGTGAGCGCGGCGGAGACCGCAGCGGAGACGAGAGCCGCGACCGCCAGGGGAACACGCCCTCCATCTAGGCGTGGAGCCCCCCCCCGTACCCCGACGCCAGCGCCCGCGGCATCGCGGGCGCGGGCTGAAGGCGGCGGCCTGTGAGTGAGCCGGCCCTCCTCTCAGCCTACCGTGCGCAGGTGGCGCCTGCGATCCTTTGAGCCTACGGTACGCAGGTGGCGCCTGCGATCTTCTTTCTTTTAGCCTACGGTACGCAGGTGGCGCCTGCGATCTTCTTTCTTTTAGCCTACGGTACGCAGGTGGCGCCTGCGATCCTCTCTCTTTGGAGGAGTTTAACTTGCGCGCACGTCGCGTGCTTCCTGGACCCGGCCGTGCCGCGCGTCTTGCGCGCCGTGCGGTCGGGGCCACACTTGCGCTCTGCGCCCGGCGCATCGTGCGCCGTCCCCTTTCGGTTCTTTTGCGCGCATCGCGCACGCGCCGCGCCCGCGCTCTGGGTGCGCGGGGCGCGGAAGGCCTCAAGGTTGCAGGCAAGTGGCCGCGCGCGCGAGGCTCTTGCAGCCTCTGGTTCCGCCCTCGCACTCGGGCGGGGCGTCCCCGCGCGCGCGGCTGCGTCTTTCTTTTCTCATGGCCGAGCGGCCGCAGGCGTGCCAGAGCGCGAGCGCGCGGGCCGTCAGGGCCCACGCGCTCGCGTTGAGCGTGGGGCCATCAGGGCCCACGCCCAGGCGGAGATGCGCGTCGCCACGCTGCCATGAAAATACCATCGCCCTGTCCTGGTCCCCCTCTCGTCCCCTCCTCTCCTCCTCTCCCTCCGTTGAGTGCACGCGTATCTCACTTAACTTGTATAGTCTGATTGGTTGTAGACTGCAGGTTAAGTGGGAGGGGGTGTGGGCTCAGGTAGCCATTTTGGGTCCGTAGCGTTCGGCTCTGGCCGACGCGCGGGTGCCCACCCACCCCGCTTTGCTCCCAGACGCCTGCGTCGGCCGAGCGGCCGCAGGCGTGCCAGAGCGCGAGCGCGCGGGCCGTCAGGGCCCACGCGCTCGCGTTGAGCGTGGGGCCATCAGGGCCCACGCCCAGGCGGAGATGCGCGTCGCCACGCTGCCATGAAAATACCATCGCCCTGTCCTGGTCCCCCTCTCGTCCCCTCCTCTCCTCCTCTCCCTCCGTTGAGTGCACGCGTATCTCACTTAACCGCCATCTCTGTAGAGTTGCTTGGCCTGCTGGCCTGGGCCGTCGAGCGGTGCCAGGCCTGGGTCATGGTGGCGCGCCCTGCACGTTCGTACTTCTGGTCGTTGCCGCCGGCCGAGGAGCTCTTGGAAGCTGGATTCGTGGATTAAGTTTTCGACCCATGTTGTTACGGTTGGGGCCTTCGCCGGCCGGTCAGGCTTCGATGCAATCCAGTGGCGCCGCCAAGCCTATCGGCCCGCTGCCGGGCGGTGGGCGTCGAGGGGGCACACTCGTGCAAGAGCGGGCCTAACGGCAGCGTAACAGAAGGGGCTCCTCGCACCGGCGGCGCCTCCATGCCGGTCGCTGCTCTGGACGGGGTGGCAGCGGCGTGGATAGACGACGTGTACAGCGAGGTTTTACATCGCCTGCAGCCGGCGCCGGCCGGCACCCGCGACGCCGCCACGCTGCGGGTTCGGCCCCAGACACATGGCCGCGGCGACGAGGTCACTGCATACGAGGCTCGCGCGCGCGAGGACGCCCAGTGCGCAGCCGGGATGCGGAACCCAGCCGCGGTGTTGGATTCTTGGCCACGGTTGCCTGCTGGCCTGGAGGCCGTCCGCAAGGCGCTGGTCACTGCAAGGGCCAGGGGCGGCGAACTCGCTGACCTGGCGGCTGCCTGCGGCCGCGCGCCAACCAGGGCGCCGCCGAGCGACTCAGCCTTGCGTCGTGCCCGGGCCCGGGTCGCTGATGCATTGGGCCTGCCGCGGGAGGCGGCCGAGTTATGCCGCCCCGCTTCGAGGCTGCGCTATCGCATCGTGGAGGTGGTTGTCCAGAAAACTCAGGATCCAGACCGCCCTCTGGCAGATTGGCTTCGTCACGGAGCGCCAATGGGGATCGCCCGCTCCATTGTGCCAGGGGGTCTCTTCCCTCTGCGGGAGTCCAGGGCGGAGGCAACTATCGATGAAGATGCGTTGGCCCAGGGCTACTGCGGCAACCACGCGTCCTTCTCCGACAAGCACGGGGAGGCCAGCCCTCCCACGCGCAGCCTGATCCGCGAGTATCTGGCCAAGGGGTTCGGCACCCGATTCGGATCGCGACGGGAGGCTGAGCTTCAGCATGGTCGCACTTTCCCGGCGCCGCTTGGGAACGTGAGGAAAAGACGTCAAGGCGGAGAGGGGTGGAAGAACCGGGTCATTCAGGACTTGAAAGCCGCCGGCATCAACGCCCTCAGTGCTACGCCGGAGCGTACCGTCCTGCCTCGCGGCATTGATCATGCCCGCGATCTTGTCGCCCTCGAGGACGCGCCAGGCGACCAAGTGGCAGTCCTCGTGTTGGATTTCTCTGACGCGTTCATGATGATGGCGTTGCACCCCGACGAGCAGAGGTTCAACTGCGCTGAAGTGCGCGACTTGGACGGACTGGGATCTACGACGTTCATCGTCTGAAACACGTTAGGGTTCGGTGGCAAGGCCAACCCGCTGGTGTACAGCAGGTTCGGTAGTTTCGCGACGCGGACGGCGCAGGCGTTATGTCAGCCAAGCACCACCAGGCTCCAGTTGTATGTCGACGACCCCGTTATCGTGACGCGCGGCCGGCCGGAGCAGTGCCAGGAGGAATTGGACGTGATCGTGTTATGGTGGCTCGTGCTCGGTATCAATTTGGCATGGTCCAAAGGCCGCCTGGTTAAGGCGCCCCACGAGCAGTCCATCGCCCGTCCAATCGTGCAGCACGACTGGATTGGCATGTCCTTCGCTCTCCACGCCGGCGTGGTGATCATGGGCCTCACGGCCGATTTCCTGGTCACTGTGTCCGAAGCCTTGCTGCCTTTCCTCCGCCGCCGGGGGTTCGCCGCGCTGAAAGACGCCCGGGTCCTTTGCGGACGTGCCGCACGCGTCGCGCAGGTAGTGCCAGCAGCTACCCCGTTCGCCAGTGCACTGTGGTCCGCCCTCGGGGGGGCCACCCGGGCCAGCGCCTCCGGGCGGTCAGAGGCCCCCCCTGGGCAAGTGGCCGTCCAGCGCTTCTTCACGGCAGCGGGGTGGTTCAACGCATTGGCATCTCTAGAACGGGAGGGTCGCGAGCAAGCACCGCCTGGAGTGCTGTTCCCGCTGCAGCGCCTCGTCCGCAGAGCGACAGATCTGGAGGTCCTCGGCAGGTCGCGCTACCACATCGAGTTCGACGCCTCTCCGTGGGGCGGCGGCGCTGTCCTCATGGAGGGATTCCAGGCAATCGAGTACTTTACTGTTACTTGGGATAAGGACGTACTCACAATGTTCGAGGCGGTCGCTGGGGACTCGCGGTGGCAGAGCTGCTGGGAGTTTCTCACGCTGCTGCTATCTTTGATCACGTGGAGGCGCCACGCCATCCATGAGGTCCTTTTCGTGCTCGGCGACAACATTGCCGCGCTACAGGACGCGATTTCCTTGCGGGGGCGCGGGCAGATGCTGATGGTAGCTCGCGAGTTGGCATGGAGAAGGGCCAAATGGCCGTTATTCTTCGATTGTCACCACTTGCCAAAGGAGAGCAACGTCACGGCAGACGCCTTGAGTAGATTGGCCGCTGTCCCACCTAGCACAGTGCCCGCTTCACTGCTCGCCGTGCCGCGGGTGGCTACACCCCCGTGGGACACGGTTTGGTTGGCGTGGGTGCCACGAATGTAGCTGCATTCGTTCCTTCGCCTGCGGCGCTGTAGTTGGTGACAGTTCCACCCGCGATCAGGCGTGTCCTATCATCGTGTGCGTGCTGACCTAACATCTACTCATCATCCCATCATGTCATTGTCTGAATCATCACGGGGGGAAGGGTCATTGGCAGGTACTCGGAGCAGGATCCCGTCCCGTCCCTCTGTCTCCCTCTCCTGCTCGTTCCTCGCCCCTCCTTCCCTCCTTCCTCCTCCTCTTCGTCCCCCTCCTCCTCCTCCTCCTCCCCCCCCTTCGCAGGGGGTGTTTCTTCATGCGCGCAGGTGCGGCCGAGCGAATTGACGCTCGAATTTCCGCCCCGGACAGGTAGCAGGAGAACGGGGTCGGCGGACAAATCCTGCCCCCCCCGGTACCTCAAGATCCCCCCCGTGATACAGACTCAGGCAACACCTCGTCTTTCGGCGGGCCCTGCAGCCAAGGCGCTTGCCTACCCTAGCCCCCCGCCCCTCCCGGCCTCGCCACGTGGCCGGCGCGGCCTAGAGATGATCTGGCTGACGCGCTGCCCGGCCGCAAGCGGCAAAAACGGGTCGAAGGACGGGCTGGGGGTGGGGAGAACCGTCGCGGTCAATTAGGCCCTGGTGCAGCGTCAGGAAACGTGCCGGTGGTGGCCGCGCATCCCTGGCGTTCTCCACCAGTGCCTGAGGCCGTGGGGAGTGCGATGTGCGCGCTCCCGCTCCCTCCTCCAGATGCTGTCGGCGCGGACGTGGCCGACGTTCCGCCCCGATTCACCATCCACGGGCTTCGGCGGGACGCACTTGGCCGGTCCGAGTACCAGAGAGGTAGCCTGCCACACTTGGGGTCCGACTCCGAGCGGCACGCCGCACTGGAGGCGTTCGACCGCGACGTGCTCGCCAAGACCACTGCGGCCGCAGAGGCTTCGAGGCGGAAGACTTTGCTGGAATGCGTGTCCCGTTGGAGCGTCGAGCTGCTCCCGCTGACCTGCTCCAGGATCAGAATGCTGGGGGCCACCTTGAAAGCGGGGCAGTACCGCTCCGCTGCGCAATATCTGTCTACGGCACGGAAGTGGCATGAGCAACGCGATTTCGTGATAACGCCGAGCATGCGTCTAGCTCTTCAGGAAGTCACGCGGTCTTGCGAGCGCGGGATGGGCCCGTGTAAGAAGATGGAAGGCTTACCATTGGAAACACTCTGCCGCCTGACTCGGGACTGGGACCCGCAGGTGCCAGGCGGGCCTTGCCACCCACGGCGGGCTCTGGTGGTAGGGGCTTGGTGGCTCGCGAGGGAGATCGAACTGTCTTCGGCACCGGCCGCCATGGTCATGTTCCGGGCGTCGGATTCGGCAGGTTTGGTGGCTACGTGGACGCTGCCCGCATCCAAGACGGACCCGCGTGCCCTTGGCATGGAACGAACACGCGGGTGTTGCTGCAACCGCGGTGTTTTCGGTGCCGGCTGCCCCGCCCACTGCTTGTGGGAGCAGCGGGCATGGCTCCGGGCCCGCTTCCCAAACCGCCATTCCGGCGTGGGTGCGCCCGATCTGTCGTTACCGTTGTTCCCAGACCGCCACGGTCAAGCGTGCTCCAAACAAGGTATGGTGGCCACCATCCAGGCTGCCGCATCTTTCCTGGGTTACCCAGCTGTGTCCGCAGACGGTTTCCAGCTGTGGGGAGGGCATTCTCTGCGTGTTGGGGGCGCCCAGAGTCTGGCGCGCGCCGGCATGTGCACCTGGGCTATCCAGTTACTGGGGAGATGGGGAAGCGACGCTGTGTTGGGCTACGTCCGCGATGCGCCCCTGGCCGCGTCGTCGGCGTGGGCGTCAGCCGCATCGTCAGGGTTTCCCGCGGCCTCTTCGGCTGCAGTGCCAGGCGCGGGCGCACGCGACCTGGAGGCAATCCTCGCCGAAGTGCGGGGTCAACGGCGCACCGGGGGCCCTGCGCGCCTCGTGCCCCGTGGGTTCCCCGACCTCGAGGAGAGTGCGCGCAGCATCGTCGCCCCCGCTGTGGAGGAGCTGAACATCGTGGCGGGCCGGATTGGCGACCTTTCCATCGATGTCCGGGAGTTGAAGCTTGCGCTAGCGGCAGAGGCGTCGCGGACTTCGGACTGCGTCGCGGGCGGCGCGGCCCAGTTGGACAGCGGGGCCGACGCCGCCGTCCGCAGCTCGGCTTCCGCACCAGTGGAACAATTCATCGTCAACACCAGTAGCGGGATCATACACGCCGCCTGGTTCTGTGGAGGCGAAGGCGCGTCGTTCTCCGGAGTGACACGGTGTCTCTGGAGATTTGATGCGCGCCGCGCGTCGAAGCTCGAGGCCCCGCCGCCGCCATTGTACAAGGACCTGTGCGAACGGTGCTATCCAGAGCTTCGGTGTCTTCACAAGCGCCGTCTCCGCGCGCAGGCCGACGCTTCCGAGGCGGGTCAACTTGGCGCGGTTGACGTGTCAAGACCCGCCTGACCAGCGTCTTCGTCTGTGCACGAGAAAGGCTTCTGACCCCGCAGTCTGTAGCATCCTCACAGGGGGCGGGGGGGGGTGTAGAGAGCAGGCAGTGAACATGTTGGGATCGGCTGAAAGTCGAATGTGACATGTGTTCTGCGTCGCGATGCGGGGGAGGGCGGGGTGCCATCGTTGAGCCTGTGCTTCACTTGCCGTGCCGCTCGTGGCAATTTGGGGTCGAGCGCCAAACCGGCAAGATGTCAGGCATCGGCTCCCCATCCCAACCCTCAGAAGGCTCCGGGAGGCTCCAATAAGGTCCACGTGACGTTAAAATTTTGAACGCGAGGCCTCCCAAGAGTGCACGGCGGCGCGAAACAACTTCAGCGTCGATCCCCGCTGCGACACGGTCCCGAGGCACCCCAAGGCCTTCACGCGGCTACTCCCATAGACCCAAAGACGCGGTCATTGGTAAGTCCAGGCCGTCGTTCCACATTCTGCCGCGTCCTCCATGCCGTCCCCTAATTATCCAAATCTTTGGCACTCGCGAGCTGTTCACTGCGTTTCTGGCCCCCCTCTGTGGCCGCGACCGCGTGCGCGTGTACAGATATGCATATACGTGCGCGTAGATCTGCCCAAATAGACACGATGAATATGTATGAGCAAGCGTGGATCTATACATCTATACATATAAATAAATGGCACGTGTGTGCCCAGGCTCACACCAAACACATTGAAAGGGCGTTTGAAGCAAGAAAACACCATGACGGCGGGATTGGAGATGGAGAAGGGGAAGCTGGGGCGGCGCCGCCAGGGCGTGCCTAAGAGAAGGGGAAGAGGCAGGAGGTGAACGCAGAATAATGTAAGATCGAGTACGAGCCACCCCCACAGGATTGGGGATCGAGCAGGAGGATCGACGAGGGCAATGCCTCTCCGAGGTCAGCGTTGCGAGGATGTCTCAGGATGTCCCACCAGCCGATTTGTTTCACCAGACAATTTGTGGAGGGAAAGAGAAGGAGGAGGAGAGGAGGAGGATAGCTGCTGGGAGTGAAATGCAATAGCGAGGTCGCACTCGAGCGCAAGTGGGTTTGCCACACCTGGCGATGTGTGTACCAAGGCCCCACAGGAAGTCTCAGGAGGCCCGACTCTTATACCGGAAGAGGCTCCAGGAGGCCCCAGGATTGTGAGTGTTGTGCGGGTGTGTGTGATGTGTGCTCTGTGTTGTGTGTGTGTGTGTTATATTTGTCTAGCGTGTGATGTGTTGGGTGTTATTTGTGTCTGTGTGTGTGTGCGCATGTATTTCTGAGGCTCCAGGAGGCTCCAGGCAGCCTCAGGAGGCCCCAGGAGACCCCAGGAGGCTCCAGGAGGCCCCAAGAGGCTCCAGGAGGCCGCAGGAGGCCCCAGGACGCCCCAGGAGGTTCCAGGAGACCCCCAGGAGGCTCCGAGGCGGGGTCTGGGGAAGGTATATACAGAAAACCCCAGGATGCCCCAGGAGGTTCCAGGAGGCCCCCAGGAGGCTCTGCGGCGGGGTCGGGGGTACCAAAAGGTACGTCGGGGCTCGATTTGGGGAGGATGTTTCAGGCGAAACCGCCATTCTCTGAGAATCGGGGTCAAAATCATGGAAATGACAATGTGTTTTTGAAGATTTTATGGTAGAATGTTGAAATTCCCATGTGTTATTGGACCCTAACGTCACGATCTGTGTAAGGGGTGCTACCGATTTTCAGAATTTCGAGGATGTCCTGGCGCCACGGCCAAACAAATCGTGAAGGACACGGCGCGTATGCATTAATCGCTTGTGAGCTCTACTCCCTCGGAGAGGTGCGTATGAATATCTCTATATATACACATACATACATAATTATACATACATACATACATACATACATACATACATACATACATACATACATACATACATGCATGCATGCATGCATGCATGCATGCATACATACACACATACATATATTTATATCTATATATGTATGTATACATATATATATATACATATATATATATAAGCACACACATATATATATACACATAAATACATACATGCATGCATGCATGCATGTATGCATACATACAGCCCCCCCAGCACCCATTGATTTCCATTGCGATTCGCGTTGTTCGCGCTCGCGTTTTCTTTGCTGTCCGATCCCGTTCTCCCCCCTGCGACGGCGGCTTGAAATAAGGAACGTCGTCTGGCGGGCCAGACCTGGATGCATGGGAGGAGGAGGAGGAGGCGACGGCGGCATTGAATAAGGAACGTCATCTGCGGTGTATTCCTTCGCTGCGATGCGAAGTATGCGATGTAGCCCACAACAGGTCGCCCATTGGCGTCGAGACCCTGGGTTCCTTATTGAACAACTCTTGATCCAAAACTCCACCTTCGTATTATCCCTCTACTCGTTCATTATCTTCCTTCGCCCCCTGTGTGTCTTCCTCCTCCTGCTCCTCGTCGCTCTTCTCCTCCCCCTCCTCTCCTTCCTCCTTCCTCCTCTTCCTCTTCCTCCTCCTCATCATCATCGTCCTCTTCCTCCTCCTCCTCTTCCCCGCCTTCCTCCTCCTCCTCCTCTTCCTCATCTCCTGGGATTCCTGGGATTTCAAGCCTTGGAGCAAAACCAAGCTTGGGATCCCCAGGAGGCCCAAGGCTCAGAATCGCAGGAATCCTGGGGAACTCACAGGGTTCGCGACGTCGGTGATGCGCGAACCCCGTCATTTCATCGGGATTCCTGGGATTTCTGCGATGCAGATCAACGATGTCTTGCGATTGCATTGGGATTCATGGGATTCCTGAGAGTTCATACTTTGGAGTAAAACCAACCTTGGGATCCCCAGGAGGCCCAGGGCTCAGAATCCCAGGAATCCCAGCGAAATCAAAGGGTTCGCGACGTCGGTGATGCGCAAACCCAATGAATTCATTGGGAATCCTTGGGTTCCTGGCATGCAAATCCACGAAACCTTGTGATTTCAATTGGATTATTTGGATTCCTTCGTTTTCAAGCATTGGAGCAAAACCAACCTTGGGATCCCCAGGAGGCCCAAGGCTCAGAATCCCAGGAATCCTGGGGAAATCACAGGGTTCGAGACGTCGGTGATGCGCAAACCATGTGATTTTATTGTGGTCCCTGGGATCCTGGGATGAAAGCCGACGAAATCTTGTGATTTCACTGGGGTTCTTGGGATTCCTTGGATGTCATACTTTAGAGCAAAACCAGCCTTGGGATCTCCAGGAGGTCCAGGGCTCAGCAGCCCAGGAGTTCCAATGAAATCACAAGGTTCCAGACGTCGGTGATGCGCAAACCATGCGATTTCATTGGGATGCATTGGGTTTCTGTGATACAAATCCACGACCCCTTGTGATTTCATTGGGATTCCTTTGATTCCTGGGATTTCAAGCCTTGAAACCAAACCAATTTTGATCACCCCAGGAGGTCCAGGGCTCAGAACTCAGGAATCCCTTTGAAATCACAGGTTTCGCAACGTCGGTGATGCGCAAACCGTGTGATTTCATTGGGATCTTCGGATTTCTGGGGTGCAAATCCACGAAACCCTGCGATATCATGTGGATTCATGATTTCTGTGATTTTCAGCCTTGACCTTCTGCGACCCCAGGGTTCGTTTATTGTTTTTTCATTGGGGCTGGAAGTCACAGGAATCCCAGGAATCCTAATGCAATCGTAGGGTTTCGTGAATCCGCATCGCAGAAATCAAACGAATCCCAGTGAAATCGCAAGGTTTTCGCATCATCGACGTCGCGAACCTTGTGATTTCCTTGGGATTCTTGGGATTATGAGCCCTGGACCTCCCGGGAGCCCCAACGTTGGCGTTGTTCCAAGGCTTGAAATCCAAGGAACCCCCGGAATCCAAGTGAAGTCGCAGGGTTTCGTGGATTTGCATCAGAAGAATCCAGGGAATCCAACTGAAATCGCAGGTGTTGCGCATCACCGACGTCGCGAACCATGTGATTTCATAGGGATTCCTGGGACTCTGAGCCCTGGACCTTTTGGGGATCCCCAGGTTCGTTTTGCTCCAAGGATTGAAATCCAGGAATCCCAGGAATCCAAAACGTCGCAAGGTTTCGTGGATTGCATCCCAGGAATCACAGGAATCCAATTGAAATCGCACGGTTTGCGCATCACCGCCGTCGCGAACCTTGTGATTGCATTGGGACTCCTAGGATTCTGAGCCCTGGACCTCTCGGGGATCCCAAGGATGGTTTTGCGCCAATGTGTGAAATCCCAGGCCAATCACAGGGTTTGCGCATCACCGACGTCGCGAACCCTGTGATTTCATTGGGATTCCTGGGATCCTGAGCCCTGGACCCAGGGTTCCCAAGGTTGGTTCTGCTCCAAAGCTTGAAATCCCATGACCCCCAGGAATCTCAATGAAATCGCAGGGGTTGTGGATTTGCATCCCAGAAATCCCAGGGACCCCAGTAAAATCACAGGTTTTGCGCATCACCGACGTCGCGAACCCTGTGATTTCATTGGGATTCCTGCGACTCTGAGCCCTGGACCTCCTGGAGATCCTAAGATTGGTTTTGCTCGGGTATGAAATCCCAGGAACCCCAGGAATCCAAATGAAATCACAAGTTCTCGTGGATTCGCGACCCAGAAATCCTAGGCGTCCCAGTGGAATCAGAAGGTTTGCGCATCTCCGACGTCGCGAACCTTGTGATTTCATTTGGATTCCTGGGATTCTGAGCCTTGAACCTCCTGGGGATCCCCAGGTTGGTTTTGCTCCAGGGTATGAAATTCAAAGAACCCCAGTGAAATCACAAGGTTTCGTGGATTTGCAACCCAGAAATCCAAGAAATCCAAATGAAATCAGAGGGTGTGCTGGTTTCAGGTTTACAGGATGGCCCACGCATTTGTTGTCCTCTATGTAAAGGAAGCAGACGCTGGCATCTGTCATGTTGGCGCTTGTTGAAAATGCGCTGCTGGCGGATGCGGGTGAACAGCGAAGAAGAAGAGGAGCGGAGAGGGAAGGGAGAAAGGAGGGGAGGGGCACGACCCCAGCCTCGTGGAAAGGAGGAAGGCGTACAATGGGTGCTGGGGGGTCTCTCTCTTTATATATATGTATGCATGTATATATATATAAATATACATATATATATATACATATACATATATATATAAACATATATATATATATATATACGTATACGACCGTCCTTCGGGTGATAAGGAGGTTCGGGGGGGGAGGAACCAACGTCTCACTCGATCGGTCTCACTATCGATCTCACTATCGATCTCACTATCGGTCTCGCTCGATCGATCTCACTCGATCGATCTCACAATCGATATCACTCGATCTATTTCATTCGATCGATCTCACAATCGATCTGACTGTCGATCTCACTATCGATCTCACAATCGATCTCACAATCGATCTCACATTCGGTCTCACTACCGACATCACAATCGATCTCACAATCAACATCATCATCATAAACATCATCGTCATCATCGTCATCATCATCATTGGGACACCATCATCATCACCTCATCACCATCATCATCAACATCATCATCACCATCATCATCATCGGGACACCATCATCGTCACCATCATCATCATCATCAACATCATCACCATCGGGACACCATCATCATCACCGGAACACCACCATCATCATCTCATCATCATGAGCAACATCATCAACATCATCATCATCATCGGGACGCCATCATCATCATCAGCAACATCATCATCATCATCATCAACATCATCATCACCATCGGGACACCATCATCATCGTCACCATCATCACCATCATCACCATCATCATCATCAACATCATCATCATCATCATCATCATCATCGGGACACCATCATCATCAACATCAGCATCATCGTCACAATCATCGGGCCACCATCATCAACATCACCATTATCATCCTCATCATCAACATGATCATCATCATCATCGGGACACCATCACCATTATCATCCTCATCCTCATCATCATCAACATCATCATCGAGACACCATCATCATCATCATCATCACCATCATCATCATCAACAGCATCATCATCAACCGGACGCCGGAAGAGAGTCATTTGGTCCGGCCGCGCCTCAGCCACAGCGGGACACCGGCGGGACACCGCGCGCCACCAGACGCCGGAAGGGAATCATTTGGTCCGGCCGCGCCTCAGCCACAGGAGATTTCTTCTCGCCCGCCCACGCAGCTTCGCCTCGCCCGCACGCACGGCACGCACGAAGACGAAACCGAAACCGATTTCCCGCTAGGGGGGCTCTCCGTTCCACTTCGATCTCACCCCCTCACCTCTGATATATGTATAAATATACACACTTTACCCTCACACGTATATATATACATATGTATACGTATATATATATATATATATATATATATATACACATACACACCTATAGGTTTATATATATGTATATATAGATATACATGTAAAGCGGGCATGCATGTGCGCGTGTATGACATATATGCGCACGTGTGCACGCGCACGCCCGCCGCCAGCGTGCGAAACTCGAAGGACCAAGGTGCATGGCGCGAAGCGTCACTGCAGTCTTGTGTATATATATATATGTATACCCCCCAAAAAACAAAACAAATACAAAAAAAACGTCCGCCACCAGCTCGGGAGGAGGCACACAACGGCTACACACTATCACTGGCTCGTGGCCCAGGCTCTTTGGAGGACGAGGATGAGCAAGACTCAAGGAGAAGGCTGGGGGGGGGGGGCCACCCGTGTCAGCGGAAAACCGATTGGGGTGAGCTGTCGCGAAGGCGCTTCGCAATGCACCAACAGTAGAGGCCAGAACCAGATCGGAAGCGCACAGAAAGTGGAAATGGCCCACCCTGCAGGTTCGGAACAGACCACATCGTTGAGCGGTGGTGCGGCACTCCCTGAGCACAGGCCCCCTCCCCCGGAGCATCAGCCAGACGAGCCGGGTTCGCATCCTCACGCCTTGCTGGGCAGGGCGCGTTTCGGCAGTGGCATTGCCGCCGCCGCCCCCGTCGTCAGGGCTACCGACTCGGGTGACGGCGACAGCGACAGTGGCGGTGGCCGGCGCGTCCAAGGCTGGCGACGTGGAGAGCCAGGCTGCGGAGAGTTCGATCGCCCATTTGAGCCGGGCGGGGGAGCAGCGGCAACGGCAGGAACGCTGCGGTTGAAGAGTAGGAGGAGGATAGGTGGCCACATGCGAACCCTACCCCTGCCCCCCACGATTTTTGAGGGGGAGGGTGGGGTTCACTTCGCTCGGGAGCTCTCGAACGAAGTGAACCCCACCCTCCCCTCAAAAATCGTGAGGGGCAGGGGGAGGGTTCGCATGTGGCCACCTAGGAGGAGGAACACGACGACGAGAATGGAGGGATGAGGATGCCCACAAACAGCGCGCCGAGCACGCTAGAAGAGGGGGGCGGAGGTCAAGGAGGGCGAGGCCGGGGACGAGGCCGACGACGGCGACGACGACGACGACGGCGACAATAAGGATGACGACGACGACGACGACGACGAAGGGGCCGCCATGAGCCTGGGCGCTCCCCAATGAGCGGGGGGCCCGCGGGTTTCGACTTCCCCAAAAACTCGGAGACGTATCTGCACCGCATCGGCCGATCTGGCCGCTTCGGACACCTAGGCGGGCCTCTGTGGGGGGGGGAGCGCTGGCGGACCCGGCACGGAGGAGGCTTCACGGATCGACCGTCGCCGTGAAGGAGAGTCAGAGGCGACGATAGAGGCGAATAGCCCAGGGGAGAGCAATACATGTGTTCAGGGGCGCCGATAATCGATGTCTTCGACAAGGCTCTCGGGCGAATGCGTGTAATGCCCGCACCTGGGCTATTCGCCCCTATCGTCGCCGCCGGCCTTTTGGGAAGAGTGCTCTCCGCTCTCGGCGGGCCGTGTCACGGGGCTTCGGGGCGTTGGAGCACCACTCGGGGCGAGAGGCTGGTCCTGGGGGGACGTCCCCGGGATGCAGGAGCAGTTTTCCCCGGGACCCGTTTCTGGCACGAGGTCCGGCGTTGCGAGAAGTTTGCCGCATGTGGCGAAAATCACGGCCAGAGCCTTGGACCCTGTGTTTCTCTTGAACGTTTCAAGCCAGATCGGCCAGTGATGGTCCCGGGGATTGAGCCCGAGCGGAAGCGCTTGGTGTGAACAAGTTGCGAATCTCTAGGTTCCTACCAACATCGGGGGCGGAGAAGAGGGGGGTGATGATTAGGGGGGGTGGATGTCATGGCGGGGGACATGATACTTCCCCGGACTTCATGGCGCCTCTTCTTGTTTCATTACGTCTCTGCCCCGCCCCCTGGGCCGCGCACGTGCCGCCATCCATGATTTGTGCCCCCCCCTCTTGGACGCCCCCCTCTTGGCCGCCCCCGAGGTTGGAGAACTGAAATTCTGAATGTCCTGGGCGCTTCGTGCGCTCCAGGCTCCTCCGGCAGAGTCCTGGGGGCCCCCAGCTTCTAGGGGGAGAGGGAGAGCCTGCAGTCGCCAGGGGCCAAATGTCAGGCGATCGCAAACATGGATCAAGGGGGCGTGGATTAGCGTCGGGTCCCGTTTATTTTCGCCGCCGAACGAGGCGGCACCGGCCTGAATTTGGGGAAGGCACCTCCCCGATCCATGGATTTGGCGACCCCGCGCCAAATCTATGGATCGCTAATCCATGTTTGCGCACCCCCGAAATCGGGGCCCTGAGGGAAAGGGCTCCTGGACTTGTTGTGGTTTGTTGCCTTCCCGACCGGGCCTGTCGAAAAAGTAACGAAAAGCTGGTTCAGAGAAGCCCCGACGGATGTCCAGGACCCGTTTTCCTCAGAATATCTTCGGCTCCAAGCACTTCTGTTTTCTTATCATTTGGGGGCCTTCCAAGGGCCAGGGGCAGCGCACTCGTCGCCCACGCCTCGATCGAGGTCGCATTGTCAAGTAGGCAGCTGTCCTTTTGCCCTTCTGTCCTTCCTCCTCCTCCTCCTCCTCCTCCTGGTCTCCTCCTTCTCGGTCCTCCAGTTGGGGTGGCAGTGCCCGCCCCCCCCCACCCTCGGAGGAACTCGATGTACACACCACGTCCTTTGGACGGCCAAGGAGCAAACGAGCTCAACGCAGGAACTCGGTGTACAGACGCTCCAGCGTCCCACAGGTTGGGAAGCTGTAGCGTCTGTGCACCGAGCTTCCTGGCCGACCAGCCGACGTATACATCGAGCCCCTCCCCCCCCCCTCCTCCGCAGGGCCAGCGGAGAGCTCCGAGGGCCCAAGGAGCACCCTCCCCCACCGCCCCCCGGCCAGCCAGAGCGGTGGGCGGCGATTAGGTGTCCTCGCCTCCCCGGCCTCTTCTCCATCCTCCTTCTGGCGCCCTCTTCCTCTTCCCACTCTAATCCTGGTCCCCCTCCTCCTTCCTTCGCCTCTCCGTACGTCCTTCTCCTCCCGGTCCTTCTCCTACCTGCTTCATCCTTCTGTGACGAATGTGCGTAGCGCTAGGGCGAGAGCCCCATTTTGACAAGGAGCCACCCTCCATGATTGGAAAGGTTGCCTACTATTCAGACGAATGTGCGCGGCGAGCTCATTCTGAAAACGATATGTGATATGTGCTCAGTCCTTGTGACCGTAGACGAGTGCGCGGGGCGCTAAAACAAGAGCTCCATTAAATCAACGACTCCCCCTCCATCCTTGTACTTGTTGCCAGCTTGTGAGACGAATATGCGCGGCGCTGAGGCGAGAGCCCCACTCAGAAAACCTACTGTTGCGCATTTCAAGTTTCTGGGACAGATATGGTGAGGAAATCTCAGGCGAAACGCCCGTCTGACCTACGGACACGACTGGGGGTGCGACAGAGACGATTATTCAAAGGAAGCGGATGGACGAGGAAACGAAGAAGATGAGGAACAAGTAGGACGAGAATGTGGGAGGAGGCGGCAGAGGATGAGGACGCCGACAGGACAAGGAAAATGAGGAGAAAGAGGACGAGGAGGGGGGAGCACGTGGAGGACGTAGAGGAGGAGGAGGAGGAGGAGGAGGAGGAGGAGGAGGAGGAGGACGTAGAGGACGTAGAGGAGGAGGAGGAGGAGGAGGAGGAGGAGGAGGAGGAGGAGGTCGAGGACGACGATGACTGGAAGGCTCAGAGACGGGGGCTTTATATGGATTTCTGGAGTGGTTCACCTCGGTGGCCCGGGAGGCGAGGGAGGCAGGGAGGAGGGGCGAATAAATTTGGAGGGGGGACTCGAAGGGAAGAGGCTCTCCCGCCGGAAGGGGCCCCTTAGAGGGCGATCCGGCCCCAGAAATACATCAGCAGGCTGGGGCCTAGGGCTCTGGTCGCGATTTCTCACCGGGCTGCATTTTTTCGCGACGTCGGATCTCAGGGCCCATTCTCTTTCCCCCCCCCCTTCCGACGGAGATGCTCACCAGCGGGGAAGGAGGGGCGAATCATTTGGAGGGAGGATTCGAAGGGGGGCCTCATCCGCCTCTTGCTCTCCCCCTCTTCTGTGGCCACCGCTTCCTCTGCTTCCTTTCGCCTGGCCGACTCGGTAAGCGGCCTGCCCCGACCGACTTGAAGGGGGGCAGGCTTGGGGATCAACTTCGTCACATTCGACGACCGCTTCAACTTGTACCGGATAGAGAAGGAATGCGGGCCGTTGTTGCCGGCAGGGCGGAAGCGGTTGTGGAGAATCAGGGATGGGATTCCATCTAGGCAGGGACCCTTTAGGTGTCCGTGCGGCTGGCACGAGGCTCAAGAGCAACAGTAGGTTTTCATGCTCTTAATGTTTTGGTTCTCCGCCTTAGAATGATCTAGGGGAGCGAAGAATGACATAAACATTAAAACTCGAGGTCCGCGCGGATTTGTCGGATCCGCGCTGGACCCCCCTGGCGGTGCCTCCGGCGCCGCCCCTGGCGCGCTCCGCGCGCCAGGGAGTGGGGTCCAGCACCGATCCGAGAAATCCGCGCGGACCTCCGAGCTTTCATGTTTATGGCAGTCTTCGTTCCCTTATGATCATCAGTCGAGTAATCTTAAGTCGGGCATGTCTCTCTACAGAAGGAATATTCAAAAGTCGTAAGAATATAGTCCGGGGACGTTTTTTTGTGTTTGATTTTTAGCATTTGGAAGCATTTTGGGGTATGTTCTGAATCTTTTTATTTTTCGTCCAACATCCGCCTCTTGGAGGACATGCCCGACCTCAGAGTAATCCCGTGGAGCCCCGGGCCCTTGGCGGAGGGGCTCACGCGCCCATGGCCCGTGCTCTCTTGGCCGCGCTTCGTCTGCACGGTTTGTAACTACCCTGGCGGGGGCACTTCGGAGACATTCCGGCAGGATGATCGGGGGCGGCCGAGCTCCGCCAGCGAGCAGGAGGCTCTTGCAGGCAGGAGCTCCTGTAGGCGGGAGGAGGAGGCACTTCCCTTTCGGCGCGCCGCCGAGTTCCGCGTCGACCGCCCTGCTGCTGCGGGCTTCTGGCCGCTGCTGGCCGGCTCACGTCAGAGGTCGCATCCACACCCTGGGGGAAGGGCGGCGGCCTTCTGGTCTCGGGCGGCGGCTGTCCTCGGGCCTGTCTCGGGGGCGGCCAAGAGGGGGGTGATGACTTTGGGGGGGGGATGGATATCATGGCGTGGGCCACGACATTTCCCCAGATTTGATGACGCCTCTTCTCACTACCTTGCGTCCCTGGCGCCCCCGCACGTTCCGCTGGCCAAGATCCGTGTCCCCCCCCTCCTTGGACGCCACCCTCCTGGCCGCTCCTGAGCGTCGGGTGCTGCTGGGCGCGGCCCTGGCCCTGGGTGCCCCCGGCTTCTCCCAGGGGGGCGCAGGGGGCCTCCGGGGCACCACCCCTCGGGGGTGGACGAACCTCCCACCCTGATGCGTCGATTCGTGAGTTGTCCGGTTTCGGTTCTCGAGAGGGCGCCGCGGCAGTCATTTTCCAGGCTTGCGCCCGCCAGGTTTGGGCCCGAGGTCGTTCTCACGAGACCACGTTTTGCTAAGGGGAGTTCTGTCCAGCCCCGAACTTCTGGCTGGGCCCAGAGGGCCCCAGAGGTCCCCCAATGGCCCGAACAGCTGGCAGCACCTTGGGGGCCAGGTCCACTTCGAGCAACAGCCCACGCTTGGGCCGTCGGGTGAGCACTGGGGCTCACCTCGGTCGGGAGGAGTGGCCGTGCGAGCGCTCTCTGCGGCCCGACGTGCGCACCGCCTCGGAGTGCAGCCGAGGCTGGCTGCTCTTTCGGAGGCCCTCCCAGGGGGGGGAGGCAGAAGGGGCGGCCTTCTCAGAAGGCTCAGAAGGCCTCTGGCCTTCTGAGAAGCTGTCTCCTAAAACAGAGGTGGCTTCTCGAAGGCCCGAGGGCTTCTGAGAAGGCCCGCCCCTTCTGAGAAGGCCGGCCTGCCCCCTCTGACTCCCCCCCTTGGCGCGCCGCCAATTCTTCAGCCCCGCCGCTGCATCGTGCTGCGAGCGGGCACCAGTCGCGCGTCAGCCTGATAGCGTCGAAACATCGCCCAGGAGCTCGGTGCGGAGATCCAGCCCATCCCGCCCTCCATCCCGCCGGAGATCTACACCTGAGCGCTGCTCCTGGCACTCGAAGGAGGAG